ACTCCACTGGCCTCCATGCATCCTGTACAACACTGAGAAGCTGCTTTGTTGGTCGTCAGATTGATTTGGGCAGTGGCTGGGTTAGCAGGATTTCTTTTGCACGAGATGCCTCAGAGTTTTAATATGCGAATATACTGTACTTTGGATCACCAAGAAAAGAAAGTAGTGTGTGACCTATTTCTTGTTGGACCTGAGAACATCTTTTCTGTGTGACTAGTATGCATTGGAATATAGACTAAGAAAAACTGAACTAGACTATCTTCCCAGTTTTGTTATGATGTGATTATGTTCTTGTATGTTTTATTCTGATCATTTTTCTCCTTTAAGAAAAATAAAGTCCTCCCTAGCACCATCTCCACCACCACATCATCTCCAAACAGCTATCTACGGTAAACGATCCCTTTGCCCCTTTACTTCATTGCCCAAGGCTATTTCTCTGGGAGAACATAGCAGAACACGATTCCAGAACCTCTCTCAGGATTATGCAAATCCAAACAACATTTTAGAACTTTGTGTTTAAGAGGCAGCTATCCCCATCATAACAAAACACATGTGACTTTCAGATCTATACTGAAGACACTTAATGTTCAAATTAAATGAAATATAAGTGTATTTATAAATACCTATTGTGGTTAGCAAGTTTGGTTATTATTAGTTTGTAGATAGTTATTACGTTGTCGGAGAAGCCATGAGGCATAAAAAAATGCCTCATGGGTTCTCCGACAACCCAATATAACACAGTTGTGCTGTTGTGGTTAGCAAGTTTGGTTATTATTAGTTTGTAGATAGTTATTACGTTGTCGGAGAAGCCATGAGGCATTTTTCTCTGACAACCCAATATAACACAATTGTGCTGTTTTCTCCATCACTTCCTAAATCTAAGGCAGGGAGGAAACTGTTTCCAGCTAGACTTCCTTCTCTCCTCTCTTGAATCACGTAGACTGCAAGGCAGTGAAGAAAAATCAGTTCATAAACTGCAACAAAACAACAGTCACAAAGTTCTCAAAGCTTAGACTATTCTGGGCTAGAAGGTGGCATAGCGGTTAAGGTGCTAGATTCCTACGTGATCAACTGTGGTTCAAGTCCCAGACCTGGCAGTTGAAAATCATGCTAGGCACGTGTGTGTGCATGCCCAGAATCTTGAGAGAAAAATGAAGGAAGAGGGGTTGTAGTGAGACCATCCCCCTTGGGGGGGAGGCGCTGATTTCTTACTTTCTCCCTTTCTCTATCTCTCCAATGAATGCAAGCGCCCTCTAAGCAAAAATCCCTCTTTAAAAAAAAAGAAGTTTGGGACCAGCAGTTAGCATAATGGCTATGTCGCTGGACTCCCACATAGACGGCCATGGTTCGAGTCCTGGACCCAGTGGCTTAAACTCACAACGGGCGCGTGTGCGTGCGTGCCCAAGATCCCGAGAGGAGAATGGAGGAAGAAGAGATGGCGCTGTGGCCATCCCCCCTGGGGGGTGATTTCTTGCTTTCTGTCTCTCTGTCTCTCTCTCGTCTGTCTGGCGAGCGCACACTCCCTATAGCAAAAACCTCTCAAAAAATAAGTAAATAAATAAATAAAATTTAAAAAGAAGCTTAAATCATTCTGTTTATAAGCTAAAAGAGCTATGGAAATTCATTCATATGAATTACACTAATATCATTAATAGATACTAAATATAATTTGGTAAAATACTAATAGACCAATAGGTTTGAAAAATGAACAATTGACCCTTAAAAAAAATAAATAAAGGATTCTAGTGTGAA